CTCTGCACTATATTATACTGTATGGCCATTTGTCATACAATGGTAATTCAATTTTGCTCATAGCCTAATCGTATAGTGTTAGCAGTATCTTTCAACAGTTCTACACTCATGATCCTTGATATTGGTCTCTCACCAAATACAATTTAATAACTATCTCGTATATATTTTTGTAAAAAGCTATCATATTTACCACTTTATTATTATTGTGCTTTGTTGCATTTTCGAAATTTGTATATATATAGCACTGTTGATACTCAGTGCTGCAGTGGGTATTTCATCCATCTGTTCATACACATATCGTGTTCATTCTATATTCTCAACGATTCCAAGCGGTATGCTTACTAATTTACAACGCTATTTATTGTTACCCCCATCTACTTTGTTGAGTTAACCTGTTTTTCACAGATTAGAATAATTTTTATCTGTAATGTATTAATGACGATTCGACTTACCCCAGCACTTGCAATCTTCTTGCACCCCAGCACTTGCAATCTTCATGCAATCTTATTCGAACTCTTGGCAAACATTTATAACTATGATTACGCCGTGTTATCGGCATAATATCCCTACCGGGATATATTTAAAATCTGTTAAATAACTATCAATTCCATAACGCTGCGATATCGGTTCGGTATCCTGTCATCGCACTGTACTGCATTCCTGCTGCCGTTCCCATAGTTACTCGCACATATGTGCTTGGAGTCGTTTTTGGTTTTGCTTTTCTGTGTCTCGAGCGTCTCTTGGATTCAGGTCGTCTCGATTTTTCACTTCTTTATATTCTTTTATTTATTGTTTGACTTTTTTCATTGTTTTATGATTCATTTATTAGACTTTAGCTCAGGTGTCGCCGCTCGATAACCAATTTTGGTTTTCGCGACTCCTTTCACCTCGAATTATCCGTTTTTGCTTCCTTTTACATTCCGTATGCATTTAGTGTATTTCATGTGTGGTGAAAAAATAAACTACTGATTACTGATTACAGTATTGGCAGAACTGCTTGGTGTCAAGTCCAGAAGCCATCTTACTTGTGTTTCACTGTTTGCGGACAGCACTTCGTTGATGGTGAGTCATGATGTGCCGTTATCAATTTTTTTAAATTTTCCTAAGCTCCCTCATTTCAATGGAAAGCAGATAACAAACTACTGTTATTGGGAGGCTTAGGCGTAGGCCTACTTCTGTACTTGCAGACTTGACTCGTGTAAGGGCCTACTTGCAGACTTGACTCGTGTAAGGTATTAATCAATAATTGCCATAAGGTATTGTTTCCCGAGTTAGCAGGTAATTTATCAGTAAGTGTGAAAATTTGAATAGATAACTAAAGTTTAACGCCAGTGCAAATGCAAAAAATAACCAGAATTCAATTGAATTCTCTATCTGAGAATACGCTCGCCACAACATTCTGATCCCCCTGGGAGTTTCACAGGTTCCAATCCCATGCGGGGATAGTTATGTGCGAGGGGAATGCAGCTCTCCTCCCACTAAGGGTGGTTAACACGACCGCTGGTCGATTACACCATCAAGTCCATGCTTCTAAAACAAATAACTGGCTAACTAATCCCGACATAGAATGGTAATCGTACGATGTTGCACCTTGCAATCTGTCCCCAACCACAGATAAATTCTATCCTAAAAACTAACCACATTGGTAGGCATAGTTGCGTTTTAAATTGAAAGAAATCTTCATGAGCATAATACACGCTCATCGACTAAATCCAATTTATTTGTCCCTCGATTTTCATCAAGCAAATGCCAAAACTCCTTGAAATACAGGGGAGTTGTAATTTGGAATAGCATAGGTCAAAGCCTTCGTCATTCATCTTATGACACCTTTAAATTTAAATACAAAAAATTCATGCTTTCCCTTTACCATTCTGCTGCCTTTTCATCCGATTAAAGTGGATCCAGAACTTTCTTCGCCATTGCCAGCTCCACTGTCGACTTGATCCAGTGATCCAGAGTACCTGAAATATATAATTTTGGAATTTATCGTGTAATCAAACAAATATTTTTACCTATGTATGTTACATGGACCCAGCCTTACAAAAAGTATTTACTGTATTTTTAATTTCACCCAATATATCAAAGGGCGAGCTTTTGCTAAAATATTGACCTAAATCAAAATTTTAGGTATCATTCTCTTATTAAATGACAATTGTCCTGCTATATGCATTTACAATCAGTCATGCTTCCAATGCAAAGCTCATATTGTCTTTTCTCACCATGACCTCTTTATTACCTATTTACTACTATGAATTGTTTCTTTTCACATATTTGATTCATCTCTGATTGACCCACTGTGTGAATGAGAGGATATCATGTAAGAAGAAACCATGCATAGTTCATGCACTGTGATGTCATGTAATATAGTCAGTTATATATTGGTAATATTTGAGCCTGATCTAAGTTACTAAGATCTTGGTCTCTGGCACCCTTAATAACATCATTTTAATGTTAAACCATATTCGATTGTAAATTTTTTTTTATTTTTTATCTTTGTACATTTGGCATCGTTATGTCATAAACTGACTGACATTAGATTTTTAACAATCTACCTACCTTTGCTTTTTCCATGTTCTGTATGAAGTGGTTAGTTCCACATGAAATTTAATCCTACCTTGATCTTGTAGAATACCATTTATTCATTGATCATGTGTCTTCCAGTTACACACTGAAGTTCAATTTTCTTACCATAAAAGGTTAAATTATTTATGACTACCGGTACTACCGTTGCATGCATACCATACTACTGGTAGGCTTCCTGTTTGTGAAACTTCATTTTTACCATTGATACCTAAACAACTGTAGCCCTGCCTGCACCTTACAATGTTCTACATACGACCACAGTCACTTCACAATGGTACCATTGTTACTTTACCTAAAAGCAGCTATCGTCATGGCTACTTAGATAATTGGTGCACAGAGTCGTTTCTTGTTTTGTTGTTGTTGAAACGCGAGATTACTGGGCATACCTGGTTGGAATGCCTTGACGTATTTATATTTATTTTCAAATTAACGTATGTATGATACTGTATATACACAGTTCGACTTTTTTTTGTTATTATTTCCTTGTTAGACTTGCTTATGGGTGCCGCTGCTCGATAACCAAATTTGGTTTCTCGCGGCTCCCCTCACTCTGAAATGCCTTTTTTTTATTTATTGCAATTTGTATATCAAGTGTGCATTTAGTATGGTGAGAAAATAAACTACTGATTACTGATTACATTAATGGTCAGAAGGTGTTGTCTGATTGTTTTGTTAGTTAGCAGGTAATTTATTACTGATCTGATACACAAACTTGGCACTGTCAATTTTTGTCAAATGATGATTAGTGTTTAATTTATTTTCAGGAAAAAGGGAAGATAACCCATTATCAGCTGCTTACATGTCCCATCGATATTTGAATTTTTGCCATCCCCAGAGAAGAAGAGAATAGTTAAAAAAAGGAGGATTTTGAAGAAAGGCAAAAGGCCGGACCATTTCAACAAATTCTGTATGCGTTGCAATATTAATTCGCAGTTGTTAGCATAAACATTTAATGTGTCTTTCGACTAGACCTACCACACTTTAGAAAAAAAAGGCGCCTACACCCCTTTTCACTAGAATCATAATACTGTAAAATATTTGATAGAATTAGGGAAACAATACCTTATTCCTTACTGTCCTACACAAGTCAAGTCTGCAACTGCAAGTAGGCCCACGCATAGGCCTACTAATAACAGTAGTTGATTATTAGATTATTGATTATTAATTCCTTACTGTCTTACACAAGTCAAGTCTGCAACTAGGCCTACTAACAACAGTAGTTGATTATTAGATAATTGATTATTAATTCCTTACTGTCTTACACAAGTCAAGTCTGCAACTGCAAGTAGGCCCACGTCTAGGCCTACTGCTGTACTGATAACAGTAGTTTGTCATCTGCTTTCCATTGAAATGAGGGAGCTTGTGAATATTTAAAGAAATTGATAACGGCACACTATCACTCACCATCAACGAAGTGCTGTCCGGAAACAGTGAAACACAAGTAAGATGGCTTCTGGACTTGACACCAAGCAGTTCTGCCAATAGGCAATAGATGATATCCACATTGGGCGACGTTCAGGATCTTTTGAAATCAGTGGAATATTACTGAAGATCCATTTCGTTGTCTATACTATTCGTACAGCCAACAGAACAACGAAATAACCAGTTTCAACAGCCAAACAAAACGCAAACGTATACCGGTAATCCGACTTGCAACTGACAGGAGCCAAATGGACGTTTTTGTTTTATTGCCGTCCAGTAACAATGTCACGTGACCCGTGCAAGTCCTCTATAGGAAGAATATTTCAGGGGTCAAAGGTTGGGGAAAGGTCCATACTGGCATACTTCAGAAACAATTTTTGGGGGTCAAAGGTCGGAAGAAGAAATAGCCATATTGTTATGAGATTTTTTGCAATTTCTTGTTTCCAATTTTTCAATCTGTGTTGGCGTTGTTGTTTGTGGAAAATATAGCTCCCTCACTCTCAAATGGTATATGATTGAATATATTGAATTATGATGACAGTTGATGAACATGTTATGTGAACCAGTTTGTAATTGTCAACTAGTGAAAATAATCTCAAATTGCGCCTATTCGGGGTCGAAGACTGGGGAAACAAATGGATGCCTCTTTGCTGCTTGGAGAAATTGTTATACAGTTATACCGTACTAGGAATTTTATTGGGGTACCGGCACCGTATCGGTGATTTGCCATTGCGTAATAATACTGGAATAAGATAGATTTATCAATACCGGTAATCCATACGTGAAAGTGTCTTGAATAGGTACCGGGACGATGCGGTATGAAATGTCTGAGTTTGTAAGTTCAGAAGTCTGTAAAGATAGGATTTACATATTTAAGTGTTACTGATATGCAATGTCTGAATGTAAATGTTGATCTACTTCTAGACATTTAATTAGAAATAACGTAATCGTTTCATTTTGAACTTGTGCGTATAGCCTATCGTAGCTGGTAAAACTAATGACTTGTTCTAACTTCAGAACTTGGGTTTTTAATATAGGTACCGGTACTGTACTTTTATTCTTAGTTAGCATATGTATTAATATGGATGACATTGAGGACACAACTCCATTAATTTCTAATCAAGATGATTTACAAAGTCCAAACTCACAAATAAGGGAATTATTTCAGCAACAAAGAAGACGGAAAGTTATTGGAAATGATGCTATTCTATCTCCTGATATCATAAATATTTCAGAAAGCAATTGTTTGGATGGCTTAGAAGCTGATCCTCCTGATAATATTATTTCGGTATTTGTCGTTGCATTTGACACAAAATGTGGTGAGATACATCAATATTTAATTGCTATGTGTACTTCATGTCCCAAGTACAGAAGTAATCGGTTCATTAAATTGTAGATCATAATTTAGAACTGCCGCTGGGGTGGTTATATATTAGGCAACAAATATTCACGTTTCAAAGGGAAAATACATCAAAATGAAAACTAGTATTGATACCATTTTAGGACTCTCTTACATAGAAGTATGTATAGATGTTGTTGTTGACTACTTTTTTGCATGACAGAATCAGATCAGCTAGATATAATCTGATAATAGAATTTTAAATATTACAATTATATCATTTATGATATTTACAAGTAATTATACTCTTATCATCATCGGTACTGATGAAACTCAACTTTGTTTTTTGTTGACGTGCATCGTTTAATTTATAATAATGTATCCACACAAGTCGTGGATGTTCATTGATATCAGTTTGATAGGAACTTTTATTTGGGGTTTTGCAAATGACTCATTTTGTTTGTTCTGACTCATTCATAATCATGCATAACTCTAGTGTGTGTTTAATATTTATAAACATATGGAAATAATATTGTGATTCATTTATTATGTACAATATCAGTGATATATTTCTTAATATTCCAGGTAATATTATTGAATGGTGCTTACCAAGTGACTTTGATCTCAGTACAGTTGAATTCAAAGCAATGCCCAGTGGAGCTCATACTGTTAACTCGGACTTTTTGTGAGTTTCTACTCTTACAAGTTTGATTTAATTTCGTTTTTAAAGAAATTATAATATTGAAAACATGCTTAAAACAAATAAAATATATGTAAAACATTACAAGAGAAAAATATAGTCATTATCATATATGGATGTTTCTAAAATGTCATTGATTTGAAAGTTAACAATGTTTACAAATGTCATATCATTCATTTACTTTCTGAATTCATTTAATTCTTCAGAGATAATTTCATTATTGTAAAAAGTGGAATTGTAAATGTGATTCATAATTACGCCTGTAACTGACTAAAACTTTATTATGTTATTTAGGTATTTTCGAAAAGATAACATGTATGGTCTCAGCTGTTTTGAAAAAATGCAAGTGGATTCTACTGAAGAACGAGGAGTTCGTATGAAATCAGTCGGTGTTCTTGCCACCACATATACTGCTCTTCATAAATATTCACAATTTCTTGAAGTGCAAGTGAGGTATCATCGAAATTATATCATACTTCACACTTATAACCATTCAGAATTGCACCAGTCAGTCGTGTACTAAAAAATGATAGATTGCACTCATTCTATTATTGTATGGCATAAAAGAAATAGCTATTCCGAGGTTACTTATATATATTGTATTCAAACTGTTTTCAAGTTAACCCTATCATTATACCTATTCATCAAATTTATCATGTCAGTGCTTGATGATTTACTTCAACAAGTAGGATATAATTTTATTGATTGATGCCCTAGTTAGTTATTCATAAAACATCGGAGGATGCGCTTTGCAATCTTTTCTTTCATAGTGATGTACATTGATAATTCACGTCCTGAATTGGTAGCTTCCTGTTTCACAACTATAGCACTACAAGTGCTAATATATTGACTACAGTTCTTTCTGCCTATTTTGCTTGATGAATATTAAAATGTAAACAAATCCCTGTTGAGAAAATGCGCACTCTGTTTTCATGGAACTGACCTCCTCTAGATTCTGCTTTGGGAAATATTCTTCAACGTCTTCAAATTAATTTTAACCTTTCGGCCAATGAATTTTATTTTCTTATCAAGAAGAAAATATGCTATAGCAAACCATTATTGATTGGCTTCACATTCTAAATCAAAAAGTTTTAATATGGTGGTCACATTTTGTACTACTATTTAATTTGTCATGGTACAAAAAGAGTCCAGTATTTAAATAACTTCTGTAATGAATATGTGCAGAAATTTGCTTTGTCAGAAAAATTGAATGTCAAGAAATGGATTCAATCATCTTATAGTTGTAATTTTCATAATTAAAAATACATATTATTCACACAGGCCAAAATATTTTTAGACATCAACTTCAAACTCCTGGGGATTACAAGCAGCTAATCGCATTTTATGAAGATAAAAAAGGGCTCATACCACCATCTTTTCCAATAGATGAAGGCATTGTATCAAACTTTCCATCATCTGGTGACCAACTTGGACTACCTGAGATGACGGTACCATCGATTTGTAATATCTCATGAATTCCTCATTTCGGAACAATGCTTGCTTATAAGCATTGTTCCAAAATGAGGAATTCATAAGATAAGGACTAATTATATAAAGCTCTTCAATAGTGTTGGGTACATATTTGTTTCATGTTTTATTAAGATCAGTAGTTCTCAGCCAGGTACCCCAAGGGGCTCCTAGCAAAAAGAATATGGAAAAATGATACAATTTGCCATTGTGGTCTGTCTCATTCTCACATATGATGTCCAATGGGACATTCAAGTTTTCAACATTACACGTCTTATATTAATCTCCAAGTTCAAAGTTGGGACCACTGGTTTAGACTCTCATAAGTATTGATCTTGTTTTTTAGCACATATTTGAAATTAACACCGTAGCATCTGAAAAAATCAAAGATTATTTTTTTAATGCAATCATGATATATTTTTGTTATATTTCAGATCACCCATCCTGTCGGATGTTTTTTGCACTTCATTCGTTTCTTTGGTGAAAGCGTTTTTGTATTATGGAAACTTGCACTTCTTCAAAAAAGAATTTTATTTTTTTCACCACCACCGATTGGTGTTGTTTGTTATAGAGGTGAGGCAAGAGTAGAAAAATGGAATTTAAGCAGTATTGGGTAACCCAGCCTTGATTGCAATAGTCCAATTTTAAACCATATTGGCAATCTGTCACTTTAAGATGCAGAGGTAGGTCATTGTATGCTTCATCACTTCAGAAAAGTTGCATATATTAATGAAGTTTGTTGTTAGAGAAGCCTTGTTTGAATGGCAAATCAGTATTTTTGAAAAGACTTTATTCACTGATTTCAAAGACTCCCAAGTGCCTCTAGTCATTCGAAAAATGATGCAGTGATAATTCAAATACTGCAGAGGTAAATGTGGCCAATACATGATTACTGTCGAATAACATTAGTTCAGCTCTAGATGCGTGTTTCAAGTTTTAGTGTCCATGTGTCATGATGTATATTCATTTTCCTGAAATTTACCATGACTGGGATTGTGATTTGCGACTGACTCTACTTTGGATTTAATATGGACTTGTACTTGACACTGATAATTGGGTATGGTCACATGTTAGATTAGTTGATCTTTTGGTATTGGTAAATGAATACTTGTGTTACCACCTTTTGATATTAATAATATATTTCTTTTCAGTCTATTGCACATCATGTTTAGCCAAGAAAATCTCCACTAAACAGATAAGAAGATCGACGAAACCATATTTTTATGTAAATATTGCAGACATTGAACAACTTGAAAACGAAATGTCATATATAGCATGTATGTATGATATCCTTTATAATATAGGAATTGCACATTTATTAATAAAAAAGTTAGATGCACCAAATATGTAGATTTGATACTACCAGCAAGTTGCTTTGATCTAAAGCGCCTGTCACCTTGCACAAAATTTTGACACATACCGATACTTTCTTTTTAATTGGGATGGTTTGGTCTCAGGATAGTAACCCTTTTTTCTAATTTAGGTACGACAGAAAAAATATTTTGTGAGAAACCTCATCTTTATGATGTTTATGTTGACAACAGAGTGATTAAGTCAGTAAGTCCTGCGTTAAAAAGTGTTTTGAAAGTGAATAGATGTGATGAAGAAAAATATCAACAGCTTTTAACTTTAAGGTAATTATCTGGTTGTGACTGGTCCATTATATATTATGGTAAATGCTGTTGCAAATCTTGTTTAAATATCATCTGCTGGATAAAGACTTTCAAATAGAGAAGTCCATAAAATTTAATTCAAAGGAGTTGAAAATATAAAACTATCTGAGAGGGTGTATGTTGAGTATTCAGATGATCATAATTACTGTTTTAGCGTAAATACAATGATTCATGTAAAAATTTGGTGTATATGATTTTGCTGCAGAATAAATCAATACAATAATGGGATATGGGCATCATATCGCTCCAAGCATGTGGGGACATTTCCTATTATCTGCTTAGTAGAGAAAGACTGCATCCCTTTCTAATGACTAAACTATACATTTTTTGAAGACAAGAACATGTTTATCTGGACGGAATAGGTGAAGCAGAACATCATAATGAAGAACAAATGTTTGCATCGTAAGTCAATTCATTCTAATTATGGTTAGATTAGTAGAAAAATATTTTTAAATCCTGGCAAAGGAAAAGTTTGTAGTGAACCATTTATGTGTATGTTTCGTATATTGCGTAACTAACCCCTCAGTCGTTCAAGATGTAAAGCCATACCCAATGTTGACAAAACATTGCCTTCAGTGTCGGATATACTCAATCACTTTCCTGTGGTGCGTTGACGTTTTATTACAATTTAAACTTGTAAAGCAATGATTTTGAATGTTTATTGTCATGTTCAGACACTTTTATTTTTTTTTTAGATTCTTCATGGAACAGAACAACAGAATATTTCAAACATTATTCGATATTTCAACTTCTGACAACAAAACATTAACCACAGAACACATGAGAGCGATGGGACTTGATCCTTGTTCAGATAGACAATTTATAACTTTGTTACTTGAAACATATAACATTGATGCTTTAATGGTTGTTGATAATCCATGTTGTCCTGTATAATTACATAAATGAATGCTATTTGACAGGGCCGATTCTTTTAGAACAAAATGGTATCTGGATTAAATTAGCACAGACTTGTCACATCACAAAATGACATTTTGGAAGGACTTGAGTGCGCCAGTGTGTGTAGCAGTTTACGCCATAATTTTATTCCGAGTTTGTGGACTGTCTGTGTTAGCCAAGTGAATATATCATCTTCCCATAGATTTTAGTCCCTTTACACAACTTGATGTAAAGTAGGCGAACAAAATTAGTTTCCTCCATATTGGTATTCCCACTTCTGGAGCACCTATGGATCTGGCCAACAACTTGAATGCTTTTATTTGTCTGCACTGTATATATAGCATCGTGACAATAAATGTTATTTAGATCTCTTACTAATCCTGCCTGCTGCACCCCACCCTTATGCAGAGTTCTATTATTAGTGCTTATATATGCAGTATGTACGTATCACAGCAAAAAGCAGCTTTTCATCACCTGCCAGTATAATATTATTTTCAGCCACCATATTCTCTCAATTATATGTAGTGCAATAACCACCAATCAATCAAGTTGCATGTGATCAATTTAATAATCTTGGTACCTTTAATTGAATGCAAGTAATAATAATTGAAAAAAAATGAAGAAATTGACTTATTATGTTTGTATGCATAGGAAGGAAGGTATTGATTGCAATGGGTAGAAAGGAAAAACTATGTTGTATCGTATCACATCTGAAGAAAAAACTGAGCTTTCATTGTCATTTATAGGATGGGACCGCATTCCACATTGCTGCGGTTACTTGGTCAGATGGGTTATAATCCAGTGCATCAACAGTCCAAACACCGACCCCTCTCAAGTCAAACTTATCTGCCAGACTATACTTCAAGCTTAGACTCTCCGGATCGTCAAACCAAATTTGCTGAATAATTCCTGTGGAATTGTCCTAAAAACAAGCAATGTTTGACAACATTAACCATCTCCATGCATTTACAATGCTGAAATACCTGGCACAATCTAAAGGAGACTAGAGAAGTGTTCTTAGCCCTTTTGATTTTCTATGTTGACCTTACAGTCAGACTGTTGCAACAATACCATAAGATCACTACCCTACCGAGGGTGGCCTCCTCATAAATAGAAGGGGGCTCAATTTTATTTCAAGTTATTACCAACTATACATGTATATTGCCTATAACTGCATATTTTAGGCAAATGTAATTCCTTTTTGAGATATTACAAACCCTTGTTATATACCACTGTCCAGTGTTAACTCTAAGCAAATTATGAGTGCGAAAGTGCTTCGCAGTCGAAAAAAAAAGTGCGAAAGTGCTTTTGCCGATTTTAACAAGTTAGGTGCCCTAGCCTTTCATATAACCCATTTAAAATGGCATAGATACTCGAAAAAGCGCTCCTCCGGTTAATATTATGAATTAAAGAGAAGCCTTTTCCGAGTTCCCTTTAAGCGAATTCATCGGCAACGAAATGACATCTGCTAACACCTGCCCGTGTCAGTTGCTTACTCGCGTAAACAGCAAAGACTTCACATTTGTTACTCCTTTCATCTAACAGACACGAGGCAGGCTGGAAACCATATTAGTTACAGGGTGGATCGTTTGTACAAATCCCGTGCAAAATAATCCCCCTCCCCCAAAATATAAATAGCAATCAACTAATTAGGGTTAGGTGATTTACCCCTAAACCTAATCTGATAATTATTAATTTGTGATTTTGAACCACTTTGAAAGTCGCCACCCACTGTTTTAAAAGATAGGTTAACCTACGTTCCCTCCGAAATATTACGCAGGATACTCCCGTTTTAGGAGATAGGTTGACCTACTTTCCTTTCAAACTTTTTTCTCCGAAATATTACACAAGATCACTTTGAAAATTCTCCCGTTCCGTGAGCTAGCGTGACCTAATTTCTCATTTACATTTATATTATACTATTTCAGAGCTTACCCAAAGACAAGTAATTTTTAAATGTCGACATGCCTTGGTTTGCGTGCGAGTTAGTTTAAATCGGGCAGAAAACATCATATATTGGCAAAATGTTTAGTAATGTCATGTACTTTCAGCATTCATAAATAGCACTCATCGTAATGCTGCTGACCTAGTATCAAATATTCGCATCACAACGCCACTTGCGAGGTTTCCATATATTTCAATTACACTAATAGGAACGATGACACCAAAGAGTTTTCTTTTGCGAAGGTACACTAAATATAACGAGGGTGATTCTTGAGAAAAACATGAATATAAAAAATAAACGAATGATATGATAGTGGATCCCAAATAATTTTGAGAGTGTCTCGAAATACCAATCCATTTGATAAATAATTTTTATTCGACCACATGACCGCTGATATCCTGAAAATTAATGTTGAAAGAGAATTACGCATTCTCAGATATCGGACATCCAGTCGAGATATTCAATCGTTTATATGCACAAATCTCACATTAATAGTAATTGCTACCCAAGTTTGTGAAGTTTAGAAACCAACAAACAGAAAATCACTTATCCTAAAACACAATTAAAATTCAGTCGGCAATAAATTCGTCGCCAAGACGATGCCATACAAAACAAAAAGATTTGGTCGCGAGAGTGTTTTTTGAGCAGAATGTAAAAACAATTATAATTAATAAACGGGAGTTACGATGCCCTTTACACATCGTGTGTATTAAACTTCCCTGGTAAGTACTATTATTATTGTACTTATACACCTGTTGGAGTATTTCGGACAATTTCGAATTTAAAATAAATGAAAACCCGACATATAATAAAGACGCAAAAGAAAAATGAACATTTATTGAAAAAGTTATTATTTAAGAAAGACAACATGATCGTACAATTCCGCCAAAACCTCGATGTTCGCAAGTGAGATGATAAATAACTACTTCCCTGTATTCGATCAATTAACTTTAGCGTATCGTTGTTCTGCCAACAAACAGCCGGGTGCAAAATATTTCCGTCCTGTGATATGCTCACAAATATTCTCGATATTAATATCATACTCTCGCGTATGTACTTTCGATTAGCTCTTTAGTGATCCCTTCCATCCTTGGTCAAGTCATGTTTCGAATATGTGAACATTTTATTCGACCATACATGGCCGGCGGGATGTTAAAATTGTAAACAAGAGAGAGGTAAAATCAATCGCGAGTTTCGTTATAACGGCTCGTTTACGAATTGTTGCGCCTGTTATCGTTGAAAATGATTTCATTTGTTGTATTTTGAGGCATTTAAGCAGTAATAATTAGGGCATGACATCATCAAAATCATCAAGTGAGATCTTGAAATTGCAAATTCCGTAAATAAAATTGTGAATTATTCGCTAACGAATTCAGCTTTAATGACCGTCGGGGTATTGTTTTGTTGAAAATTATTATTAATGTGAGAGCGCCAAAAACATACAGTCCATACCGATGCGACTGCAATTTATATGGTCGCAATTGGTGTGGCGCGTTTATTAATAGTGTAAAATAAATTAAACGAATATCAATTATAACCAAGCCTGTCAGCGTGTTTATTTTCTGTGGGGAGGAATCGTAAAATACCATCTTGAGACAAATTCACTTCTATTATAAAATCTTAATTTTCAGTTATTATCGTTATACAAATAACGTGTGGCAACTTTTTAATTTATCGTCGACCAAAAAACCGCCCCACACTCGTCCAAACGTGTGTCGAGCTTGAACGACCGGAACAGATTCATCGACGACCTTAATTAGGGAAAATATGTATTTTATTGGGAATGCAAAATAAATGTAACAAAACGCATTTTTTTGTGATATAACTTTGTATTTTCGGAAACGGGTAATTTGATCTAAATTAATCGCAAAAAGGTTTTATTTTAAATGTAACAAAACACATTTTTCGAGATACAACTGTATTTTCGGATACCGGGTGTCATGAAGAGTAAAATATGATCTGAATTAACCGTAAATAATGTTTCATTCCAAATGTATCATAACGCATTTTTTGCGATATAACATTGTATTTTCGAAAACGGGGCGTCACGAAAATTATTAATCTAATGTTTTATCTATCGTCTAACTAACGTCTGGAACACATCATTTTAGGGGAGAACTCTAGCCCGCGAAACGTCATTTAATTTAAAATAGAGAATGTTTCACGCATTTCAAAACGGAAAATCACCAGTAAGTGGACAGGGATTCAACCCTCCGGATTCAGTATTCTATATCCCCCGTGTCAGAACTTTCTGAAGAATGGAACAAAGAACCCGTCAAACCGCCGCGGAAGAAGGGGAGTATTTTTTGCACTAATAATTAGGGCGTGACAATATCAAAATCGTCAAGAAACTGGTGAATTTGCAAATTCCATAAATAAAATTGTGAATTGCTCGGTAACATTTCAGCTATAATTATCGCCGGGGTATTGTTTTGTTGAAAACACGTTGAAACTTGAGGGAATTAGTTACAATTAGCGCCTGACCTCTATTAGGCACTCGAGCACTCGAAAAAAAAGCACTCGAGCATACGTAAAATATCCTGTAAAAGAAGTGCTGTTCATTAACGTCAACTCGTCCTATGACCACGCAGAAATGCCTTTATTGCCGAATTATTCAATCACTATTTTAAATCAACATTCAGGATTGGCACAATTTCAGACTTGCGAAGTTTATCACCATAGAAATACATGAGAAAGTTAATTATCGTCTTAATAAATATCTGCATCACGGTATGGACAATAATATTACCATTCGCATAAAATTAGGACGGTAAATTTACAAATCTTGATAGGTAATATTAAAGCCAACGCAAATGTTAATTTGAGTCCTCAATGTCTTCAACAGCTGTTGCCGATGTGAACGAACGGGTAAACCCGAAATATAAAACTTCCATGTCCGCCGACCCACAAGAATTCATATTTGTAAAAAAGAGAGGGCGGGAATATAGATTACCCAAAACCTGGATATCGCCGCCAAAACGATCGGTGACAAGAACAATTAGCGATTACAACGGAATTAACCAGTAAAAAGGCTTTGTTGCCGATTTTTTAATGTTTCCACCACGTTTATTCGGTACTCCTTAAAAATATTCGATTCAAAAAAATATTTGCCCACCCAACCTCGCATATCAATGAGAAATAGTTGTGTAAATATGGCAAAATTCCGGAAAATGCCACGTCCTTTCAACATTGTGATTACAATAAAATGGCACTTAATGGTATTTTGTGAATTTGGTGATTTTGCAAATCTGTGACATGCTGCTAAAAGTTTCGTCTGATTTGAAAATCGTGCAGTTTGGTCACAATTCATCCAAAGTGACTATAACAAGTAACACTTTTATAGTCATTTTGAATTCATCGATATCATTGATAGTCACATGACCACTCTCGTTCAAAGAAACGCACTGGGTATTATTCCAACATCTGGTTTCAATCACCGGAGAGCGTTTTTTGCGGGAGAAGCGTTTTTTGCGGTGTGCTTGTATAGTAATCATATTATAAACAAGAATTTTGCCGTTAATGCAAAAGCTTTATTTCCTATGTCTGCATCTCATAGGTCAGAATTCCGGTAAATATCGTTATGATATGCAGAATTGAGTTACAAAAGTACTAGTATGTTACTTATTTGTCAACTTAATACTCGAAAATATCTGTTAACTTTGAATTTTTATTCCATTCGAAATGAGAAAAAAGTGCTATTTCTCTTAAAAATCGGAAAAAAGTGCTATTTCGCAGTCCCTAAAAAAAGTTGCGAAAGTGCTTCGCAATTTTCGCAAAAAAGTGCGCTAATAGTGAACACTGCCACTGTCCACCATATTTATATGAATGGGATTTTTAGATCAGTTACACTGTAGTGTATACACTTTGTTACCTTATAGTTTAAGAATGGAGACTTATAAACATCACTCCACTGGCGCCCACCCATTGAATTAGGCAAAATCTTCAAAATCACTCTATAGTCCAATTCTTTCCCAACACTTTGAGTGCAATGTGTCTTTTTATTTGGGTCTTTCTTAATGTAACATAAATTCTGATCAGTAAGATTCGAACAGTTATAAATGTAACCATACCACGGCAAACCAACCACTAGTTTCTCTCCTGAAAAAAAAATGAAATTGTTGAAGATAGGAAGAACATTACAGATTCATTCATCATTATATATTTGAAATTTTCAAACTATGCTGGGATGGAAATGGAGGTGCAGAAAGGGTAAAAATCTGTATGAAGCCAAACTTATGCCTAAATAGGACAATTACCTGGTATTCCAATGGCTCGAAATGCAGCTACCCCAGCTTGAGTTTGAGCATAAGGAGCATTTGCTCTGGCAACACAAGGAGGTAACATATCATGCTGTTCATCGTATGCCATGATAAACAAAAAATCACAAGCATCGGCCAATCCCCAAGTGTTGTGATATATGTTTGGCAGCCAGAATACATCAACAACAACCTGTAATTTACATAGTAATTAAGAAATGTTCAATTTATAATTCGATGCAAGCATGCAAAACAATTAATTGCTCACTCTTAAGAATTCTTTATTTTCAATTTGTGTGAAATATGGAGAAAATAAACTGTCTATTTAATTTATTGTATACCGGAACATGTTTGCAGCAAAAGCAAATTCATAAACACAAGTGTATGTTTGAGATGGCTTTGACCACATTGCAACAACTTTAATAAACTCACAATAGAACTTGGCCATGTTGCCTTAAAAGTGTATTTCAATTCAGCTGCAAAATCTGTCAATCCATTTCTGAGCGCAAGTTCTAAAGTATTTATCTCAACGTCAATATCTGCTCCATCAAGATAATTTTTTTCAGCAAATGCATGGAAGTACTTCACAACTTCAGTTCTAGCTGTAGCATTTTTCAAATCTTCGCCAGAGATAGGAGCTGAAAGACATTTTATAACATTAATGGCTTCATTCCATTTAAAAGTACTCTTGCAGATTCAGATGGTTTCATAATAATGTACATGACATTTTGACTAGGCAAATACTAATTAGGAAAATCTGACCTGCATTACGGTAGTGGGTTAAAGTAAAAGAGATTTTGCAATTGTATGAAAAATATAGAAATAAGTATAAAGAGCTTGCTTACCAACAACAAGTACACGAGTTTGATGCTGATGAGCCAAACAAACTAAATCTATTCCCACTTTATTCAACTCTGTCTCATAAACAACTAGTGTTGTCAACTTGGTCCAGTTAAAGCTTCTGTAATTTGTCAAATTTACCCCGAAACCAAATACCTTGGAAAAACATTGAATTTAATAAAAGTAGTAAATTACATAGTAGCCCACACATCAGGGGTGGGCATGGTTTTCGGACCAGTGTGATGTAGAAAGGAATATTTTATAAATAATATTTAAAATTTTACAAAAGAAAAAAATGGAAAACAACAAGCCTGTGCCAAAACTAAAGTTAATCCCAATCCCAGCAAAACTCTTGAGCTATTTTTTAGCTAAAACAACAAATTTTAGTTTGGTTGAGGCAGCATCAGACGAGCGAGATTGAATAACCCAACAGGCAGGATTTGGCCCGCGGGCCATAATTTGCCCATGTCAGTACTACATGGTTAGCGAAGACCATTTACAGATTTAAGATTCAAATGGGTTGACTACTGACACGGTGGCAGGGAGTTTATTAAAAAAAAACCTGTAACCTTAGAATTACATAAGTTTAAATTACCAAAGGCGTAAAATATGAAGGCATTAGTTACCACATATGGTACAGACGACTACAAATGCCACTTTTCCAAGAATTCCAATACAGCAATAGCATGTCACGAAAATGTAAGCATATCAACTTTCTGACTTTACAGATTCATGCCATAATAATAACTAACACAGTGTTCACCACATCCCGTTTTAAAATTATTGCAAGTTTCCCTACCTCTCGTCTCCCGGGTGCATCAATGCGATCGCAGTATTTTGCAACAGAACAAGGGCAGCTCATCAATCGGTTGTTGTAACTTTCGATTCCGCTAAAGCAATATACGATTAATAAAAATCCTAAATATTTCCTCATGTTCGTCATCATAAGCATTCAATTGTCAACCCATAGATAAATAGATGCAGATAAGCAGCAAACTCAGAAAATCGCCCAGCAATGCTGAAAGTTACGGTATGCAGCAAAGACCGTAGTTTTCAAGCCAAAGAAGTGGTCACGCGCCAGCAGAAATACCCAAATGCGCTATTTTTCTCAGTTTTTGTTTGTATGCTATTTGCTTGATAGTGTAGTCAGTATTTGGCTATTTCTCGTATTTAAGATATACCGGTATACCTTCATCAACTGTGAGTGGCGTGTTTGTAGTTTGTTGAATTGAGTCAGCGTCGAAAATTCTCGAACTCCGATTACTTATTTATTAATGCATCACCCGTCAAAATGAAAGTGCGGAAATGTTTTGCACAGGCCTAATTTTTAATGGACACGTTTTTTTTACCCGTGAGAAATTACATATATATTAATGCGCCGATGCGCCCACACGTTCACTTGGTTAGCCAATTACCGAGGTGTTCTTCCTATTCATTACAAATGCAAAATCTCCAATGCTTTTTTTAAGTACCGTGTTTCCCCGAAAATAAGACTGGGTCTTATTTCAATTTTCTTTCGAAAAATAACACTAATGCTTATTTCGAGGGATGTCTTTCATTTTCATTTTTCAAAAACAAAATACAAAGTACAGAATTACGAGATTTTCAAATATACAAAATATGAAAACCGATATCCATTTACTTGAATAACACGTTTCCCTCTCTCACACGTTTTGAATTAATCATATAAAACGTGTAGGAAGGATTTCTTGCTATCGACCTGGTCAAAAAAAGTTTCGCGCTATTGACTAGGTCAGTGGTTCCTAAACTTTTTGAGCCGCGCCCCCTTTGAAAAATTTTACAAACTTCGCGCCCCCATCCTCTTCCCCCCCTCTTTTGAAAAATTCTTTTGTGATGGGCAGGTTGCTATATATTAAGATGGCGCTATAAGAGTGTTGGTCTCATAGCGTCGTTGCTCAGATTGTTTAGGCATAAAACGCTTCGGAGTACAACTTCGCCATTCACTGTCGTATGTATAAAGCCAAATAAGGGTTGTTCATACCAATGACATTGTTGTTTAATGTCATTGGTCATACACTCTCGTTTTTCCACTCAGTTTGCAATACCTGATAAAATCAAATTAATTTTTAAGTAAAACTTAACACGCAATAAACCTGTGCTTCAATGTATTTTCTGCTTAAACGTTTACATAAGACACGTAAAATTTCAATCATTAGTTTACCTCATCACTATTGAGCAATGCAAAAATTATTTACTGTGTGTTAAAAATAAGCAACAATTACAAACTTCTTGGCTTATCTAACGTTGCAAACAAAATGGAGGAGTGCAAATTAATTTATGTAAATTCAAAAGTAGTTCATTTTTTAATAGTTATTATGCATGTGGACGTTTCCCCGGCCCTTGACCGCTGAAAAATAAAGTCGCTAAGGCGTTTGCGATTGCATTTTGTTTAAATCGCAATCGTTTTCGTCAGCGTGGCGTGTTATTTAATCCGTAAAAATCTTGATTTCGGTGTTTATTCTCATTAAAAATCTTGATTTCGGTGTTTATTCTCACTAAATCAGAAATTTCCCTCAACATATTCTTGTGCCGCGAAGACGATTATAATTACTTTTTTTGTTCTCGAATGGAACCATGACATCTCTGAGGAAAACGAGTTGGTTCTTATTATATGGTCATCAGCGACGAGATGCTAAAGAAAGAATAAAGAAGTGAATCCGCAACTGCAAATTTTTTTTGTTGTAAAAGTAGCATCATGAAATACGAAAAATAAAACGAAAAACACGATGAGTTTTGTTTTGGGGTGGACCGCCACAGATTAATAACACTTTCTTAGACATTGTGCAAATCTCATAAATTCCTTGTGCCTGTGGCACACCTGTAGTATTCTAAAACTACCGACTTGAAATAAATTTTACTCCGTGGGATTTTATCGCAGACTTAGGAATTTCTGTAACGGCGATGTCTTAAAATTAATCGAGTGGCAGCATTGCGATAGAGCGGAGTAAGAGTTGCGGGGACAGCTCATATTGGTGAAATTGGCAAGCATACAAATCAAAACAAAATGTAATCTGTCACTTTGCCACACATTTTTATGGTTGCGGATTACTGTGGTATTTTGGAGTAGTGGTGCTTTTATTTTATCGATGCAATCGCAGATTTAATTTATCACAATTAAATAAATAAAGCAACCATTTTAAACAAAAAAAATACACCGGTCATGAATTAAAAATTTTATTCAACAGAAAAACCATTACATATCCGCTGAAAAAGTCGGCCCTTTTAACGACTGGTGTAATGACAGGAGTCGCCGCAACCGCGAGTTAACTTATACACAAATGAATTAAAATAGAGACACATTTTGAATTCTTGTAGTTATTACGAAACAGAAAAATTTATTATACCACGAAAAAAGCCGGTATTTTTAACGAACGCGGAGACCGTTTCAGGAGCCGTTACATGTAAATTTCCGATTCCATCTTGTGACCTCTCGCGCCCCTCAGTTTAAGAACCACTGGACTAGGTATTGTTTTAAGGGCAGAGCTTATATTAGAATCATTCTCAAAATTCAGGCTAGGTCTTATTTTCGGGGAAACACGGTATTTTCTCAGAATTTGCGTTTTGAATAAATGAACGGGTTTGAATAAATTAGTACTCCGTTGGTTTTTCAAATGGCGCATCAAATAAATATTTGCTCATTTTTCTTTCTCGAATATATATCATCTTTAACCTTTCTAAATGATTGTAGGCATGAGAACTATTTCCCAAAAAAAATGATGCAAATTAATCGTAACTTGGCCTTCGACCAGTAATAATTACTGGAACTTACTTATTCGGTTTCAGATAACATGGAACACTAGTTATTTATAATATTTAGCTTTATGTTTGGGGCACCAAATTCTTGAGTGTCTAGTCTAGGGCCTCTAAAAGGCATGATTCGGTCCTACGTATATATATATATAATACGGGAAAGCTTTAGCCAAACTAAAGATAACTATTCTAAGTGATTCAAGAACATTGCTAACACACCAACATGAATATATTTCTTAAACGTTTCGTCTGGCCAATGTTTTGAGGGTGCTCCAGAAGTATGCGCACCAAGATGTCGCACAACCTGAATTCTAACCGGTACACACATACTATGTTCAGGTTGTGCGTCATCTTGGGGCGCATACTTCGGGAGGTCCGTTTTGAGTCTATTATGACTCTTGAATTATTTTATTAGAGAATAGTTATATTGAATACTGCTATAGCATCATTGTATAGTATGCATAGGGATCCACTGACACAAAGGCATAGAAGGAGGATAAGTAGTTAGTCCCGCAAAACCCAAACAATAGCGCATTTAATTGCTTTTGTCGATTTAGTACTTTATTGCGTTTATGACCTAGTTTTTGTTTCAACTGAGGTGGACATTTCTCGCGTCGCATTGGCGAGAATTATATGCTAACTCTGATTACCACGATTGCATTGCATTTATCCAGTTCCGGTCTCGTGGAAAACAACTGAGAGAATGGCCAATTTGCGAAATCGCCGTTTGATTAATCAGAGGTGGCCGACCTGTTTTCGATCGCGATTCACTAAAATCTTTAAAATAGCTCGCGATCGACTGATAGGTGATAAGGTACTAAAACGAATGAGTACTGAATATGCAGATAATTGTACAGCACACGCATACAAAAATTCACCACTGCCAATAAGCTCGGCTCTGCGGAGTCATTCTTGAAGAAATCGTCCCGAAAGTTTGTATTTTTCTATCTATCTAATTTCCTCCAAGTCCGTTTCTTCGCTCGTTTGGAATTAAAAAAATAACTGGGAATTCTGATGCCACTGCCACCGTTGCAAATATAATTTATAACATCACTCTTGGAGTGAGACAAACAATATTCATCAGGTTCATTTTCAAACCTTGGCAGCGGCGAAACTTTCATTTGTTACGTAATAATATGCACTATTGGGCTCTATATATTGGGGTATGTTATAAATTCACTGAACAACAGACGCGGCCGTCGACTACCCAAGAGGTGGCGATCGACCGGTCGATTGCGATCGACGTGTTGGCCACCCCTGGATTATAGCTTCCTCCACATTTAGGACCAAGCACCTGCTAAACTGGCGAATCAAGTATTTCTGGAAGGGCAACCAGTCGAGCTGAGCCGTGTTTCGTCATGTGCTGTTTATTACGTCATATAGTTAATTCAACTATTTCCAAACATGATCTGGACAGGCAACCAACTAGTGTTTCTCCATATGATTAAGCTGTCTTATCTTCTTTTTCTTTATTTAGCCAAAATATGAAATCTGTCTGAAAAGGTCCGATCCATTGCCAATTCCACCATTAACATTTAGTTAACAACCAATTGTCACGCCGCACTGTAAAATGGCATATCTGAATGCAAATTTGGCAAACCGGTATTGAAAACCATTGAACATCCCGATTTGTCCCGAATAAAACAGAAAAGTCAACAACATTGTATTAAGATTATATATATATATTGTGGTATATTTTTATGGTCGTGTAATATTTTATTTCAAGAATTTGTTTTTAGGATAGAAATTAATGAATAGACTGTTCCGTATTCAATTTAATCTTCTTCTTTTTTAATTTAATCTATGATGCAAATTTTTCAGAAATTCAAAAATGAATTAGTCGAAGTCGTTTTTGTCAGTGTTCAATCAATTTGCGAAATATAGAGCTTCCTAAATACTAATGATATCATTGATTGCGATTTTAGAAATTTTTGAAAACTATCTCAAGAGTGCATTTGAGTGATTCGTTATAGGGCAATTGAAGGTGTTATAACAGTTACCATGCATTGTTGCATTCGACTTTTAGTCGGAATATGCCCTCTGGCACTCGGACGCGCAGTGCTGCTGGTGTGGAAAATATTTGGATCGTAAATGTAAGAATGGAACCTCATAAAAAAAATTCCATGTTTTATTAGGAGGGGCCACAGATTACTTGTGCTTTGGGCTCACATGGCTTCTGGTTCATAATTGCCAACGTGGCGGAGTCGCATCCTGGAAAAAGAACAAAAATTTGAAGAAAAAAAAATTATCTCAAAAAAACTAGAGAAAAATTGAGATACAGTAATAATTCACCATAATATATTTAAATGTAATTTACGTATATCCGACTAATATGTCGTCTAGAATTTTGCATGAAAATGATTTGAAAGGTCCATATGATCTTGTTTCGCGTTGAATTTTACGAACATTTTACCGATAGCTAGTGACCAGCCTAAGTGTCTTTCATTCTTTCAGGCTTGCTACTTCCATATACATATCTTCTCATGGTGAGAAAGCTCCTTCTACAATGTTACCGGTAATGAACAGTGTTTGATGCAGCGCCTGCATTGTTCAAATTTTCTCCCATGACTTTTCTATGCGACTCCAGGTAAGATGACTTCTAGACGCATGTACACATATCCATACCTGAACATCAATGAGTCACCCGCTGCTATTTTCCGCTACCGGCGACGCTTTTGCTTGATCTTTTGTTCAATGTAACTCGGTTTCGGAAGTAAGTATCGATGTGACCAGAATGAATCAAGGTCATCAATCGCCAGTTTTACCTTGTGCGGTTGTATATATAAACGAAGAATAATCTCTGAACATCGCAATTGTGGTAGAAGCGTGTAAGATAGGTTAGTAGATGGAGCAAAGAAGAGCCAGAGAATCAAACATAGCCTATAGTGTTAAGGGACTATTGCTGTATAATAATATATAAATATATGTTTGGCAAATGTTACTTGATTAGTTGATTCAGAAATATCAAACTCCTAAATATTTGTACGTGTTCAGTAAAACTGTAATAGTATATTTTAACACGATAACTTATGTTTTACCATCGCCTCTAAAAACTGACAAGTCGCAATAATTTACACGTATATGGGAAGTTTTAGCGCCAGGGTGCTCAGTCAGATGCATAAATGGCAGTCATATTATCATAAGTAAAGAAATGTTTGAAATGTCCAGTCTGTTTTACAAAATAGTTTGTATTGATGAGTAAATAATTATTATGTGTATACTGGCATTTAAATTAGATAAGTACAGGCGCCATGGCTTATCACCAGATCTGCATATAGTGACTTTATCATTCTTATATTTTCGCGCATCACTATTCACTACTCTGTCAACCGAAGGTTTATGCGAGGTGTATCCCACTCCGTTACAACTTTAATTACAATTAATGACGTTTCGCACAGTGGCGAGAAAAGGAGCCTCCCCTTTTTTCAACGGCGCTCTCTCTCTTTCATCCTACTGTGCTAAATATTTGTACAATTTCCCGATTACTGACATTGTAACCAGTACAAACAGCAAAAGAAAATACCATCGTCTGTGTTTGTTGGTAGAGTCTTAAAGAGAATTTAATTGGAACTGTCAGGAGTTTTTTCACTAGATTGAATCCACAGACGACAGTCATACTTATTCGTACGTATACAACGCGACATCTTCTGAACAACGGTACTTTAGAGATTGGCTAGAAAAGAGGCGTTTTGATTCTGTGATTCGTTAGATTATCTATATAATTAAGTTTATCTTATATATGCATCTGTGACAATATGCTCATTTTGTTCATAACAAGAGTAGGTCGTGGAAAGAGGGTTCAGGTGAGACTAAGAAATTTCACTACAATATTCTGGTACGCAGGTTTGTCTAGGGTCAAATATAATACAGCAATTATCTAGGGGTCAGTTTAATTTCTTCGTGATTGAAAAGAAGGTTCCGATATGGAAAGATTCTGCACGCGGAGTCATCGCTTCAATGATGAAACAGGCCGCTCGATATACCCGGCAATTAAATCGTGGGTAGGAACGTCTGTAAATGTGAAAGTGTAACATATCAATTAATTTCGTTTATTATTATCAAAGTCGCATAGGTGCATCATTATTTATAACAACAGAATGAAACTAATACTTTACGCAGTTAGTGAACACAATATCAATTGTAATATAGGTAATGATTTTGCAAGCCCTGTTACGAAGCAATTTTTATTTCATGATTTCGCTATTTTAGTATATGCAGGAGTAAAGATACAAACGTTGAATATTTCGAAATTGAATATATTTTGCTTCAAGCTTACTCTCGGATTTGCATATATGACATGTTTCAGGGCTTTGATTCTGTAACGTCGGTAGTTTGCATTCCATTTACTATTTAGCGAAGCAATTTTTATAATGGTGGTGTAGTTTCAGAAATCATTCTGTGTCAAAAAGGATTATTCTGACGTCTAGTAGGCAATCGCTAGATTAAATGAGTAATAGTTTTGGTAAGAAAATAACTTTCAGAAATGAAATTCGTAAGTGTAAATAAGTGATGACACCAACTGAGCGTAAATAATGTGTATCAAAGTTCTGTTTAGTAGTCATTAAATAAGAGCCAGCCCAAGTTATTTAAAATGTGTTACGTTTTTTTTTGCGTTTCCATACTTCCATACTCCGTTTCCATACAGCAGCTATTGAACGAAGATACTGGGATATATTGACTGCAGATAATTATTTCATGTTTCCTTTGCGATAAGAGGTTGTAGGTCTTTTGTCTCTCGCAGTATTCCTTCATTTTATTATTCTGCGAGTTAGTAGAACGACAAAGATATTTTTTATGAAAATTTGAAGCTGATTTGATATGATAATATAAAAATTTGGAATGAATGAATGATTGAAAAAGGCACTATGCTAACGAAAATATCCGAAAGTAATACCTTACACTCTTTCACTTTATTATTTTTAGTAGATTTCTAATTAGTGGAAATACGAGAAATGCTGTGTTACGCTTATGAACAAAAGTCACCTATGACTTCGGCTGATCAAAATCCACAATCTATGGATCGGAGAATTCATAACATGGACGACAGTCCGCCTATGCCGATGAGCAGTTTGACACCATCTACGGATTACGGATCTCATGTACACACAACGGGAATTCCTCATCATCCCCACTATCAAGTGTCTAGTTTTGGAATATCTGTGCCATCCGGGGTCGCACCCATCATGCCAACTGAAATAAGAGATGGGGATTCCTACGAATATGGAGTCGTTTCTACAAATCAGAACGTTGACCCTGTGAGTGAAAGTGATATCATACGCACGTCAGCGACAAACGTCTGGGATCACAACGCATCGTATGCGTATACAGGGGTACATAATTCATTTCCAAGAGACGCGCCCAGATTATTTACCAACGACAGAGAGTGGAATCTGCGCAGTGAACACATGTCATATGAACCAGCCAAACACTTTTACCCACATCCACCCAGCACGCGACCATCCTTATATTCCTCAAGCCACTTACCTCCTATTACTAATGGACATCATGCGACAGCGCCCAATGAAATTGGTAATAAGGAAATGTTTTCAAATGGCCCAATTGTCAATGGTGAAAATGTTGCTAAGTATGGTATTGACCCAGCTAATCCGGCGTTACAACGACACCCGTATGATTGGATCAACAAAAACTCTTACATCGCCAGCCAGCCGCCAGGTATGTAACATTAAAATTATATTTTTTGCCGCCATTAGCGTGATTTATTTGATAATAATTTGTATGTAATGGTTCACCTTTGAATTATGTTAGTGACTTATGATAAATAAATTCTTTTTACCGCGTCACATTACGCACGTCGGGTTTGCGCTTCCCAATATTTACCCTCGGCTATTTGCATTATCCAAAACGATGACATCTCGACATGTCTTTGAAGATTGCGCTAACAACAATTAAAAATTACGAAGAAGCGACTACTGAAATCGATAAAATGGACACTTTGAATATTTGCAAATATGTTATATCATTGTTTGTTACGTCACATGAAAGGGAATGGTATATTTGTAAATGATATTTGATAAATTAGCGAAGAAAATTTGAAATATTATTCGTCATAACTTTTACTGTTAACTTGTGGTTTGGACATTTACGCAAAATATTTCATCATTTCAATCCGAAATAGACCTGGATGGATACCATTATCAAATAAAGTAGTCTACGTAATTGAATTGACTTTGCGCCATGAGATGGAGGGCTCAGTTTGAATATACTGTTTTTCTTTTATTTTTCAGTCGCCATAGTTTAAATTCGTTACGGACATTTAAATATGTGTACAATTTGGCTCATTTAATTAATAAATCTAATTTTTTAATAGCATATCAGTTCTTTAGTACTCTTGACATGGAATTATTCGCCATTTTGTTTTGTTTTTGAAGCCATTTATGAACGCTTGATCAATGCTTCTCTCTCACTAAAACAAGTTGTGATCATAAAGAGAGTAACTTCGGGTCGTAAAATTAACGCACCGAAAAACATTTCGATATTTTTGAACACACGTGACGTTTATGGGCAGCGGCAATCAGTCGTTAATGACGCGTAAGGCAAGTCTTTCACAGACGCGAATAATTATTATGAAAGTTTATGACCCTCTACGTTTTATGGTCATTCGTTAGTTTTCGGGGCAAATTGATTGTGGCGACGCACTGAAGTGGACTGCTTTCACACCGGGGTCATAAACTTTTTTCTCAAGTGATGACGTAACAAAACGACATTCATAACAAGTTGTCTTCAGCAAAACTTGCCGATTTGCCGCACACTGAATTTCGAAAATGAATGACCACATTTATTATAAGTTTAACGTGAAACGTCTCAATTTTTCACTAATAAATCGGGTACCACTCCAACTATAGTTTTTTCACAATCTATCGGCAAATTTACTTTAGTCTTATTACCTGTCATAATTTAGAAAGATATGTCGAGAAAGTTTACATCCTTGCGCATAAGGGAAAATCCGTCACTAGCTGTATAATATGGGAATGAAATAAATTTATTCCTTGCCTAATATACATTAATTAAAAATATAACCTAATAATGCGTACCAACATACATATAGTATGTGTTTGTTAGCAAGCAAGTAAAAAGTTTTTTTTCATTGCCGTTTTTTGACAACATTGTACACTTTCACATCTTATTTCTGTTTATCACAATGCAATTCCTTAAAAGTCTATCTGACCTGATTCTGTTTTTTTTACATGTGTATAGCAACTGGGAAAACGAGAACCAAAGATAAATATCGAGTTGTTTATTCGGATCATCAGCGCCTCGAGTTGGAGAAAGAATTTCGTTTCAGTCGGTACATCACAATACGTCGGAAGGCAGAGTTGGCAATACAACTAAACCTAAGCGAGCGACAAATTAAAATATGGTTTCAAAAGACGAGCTAAAGAGAGAAAAATCAGTAAGAAGCGAGTGGGAGAAGTTTCATCTGATACATATCCGGATTCTGTGAAACAGCAAAGTTCAAATAGCGATGATGACGAGAAAATGGGAATGCAAAGTGATTTGAACAACAACGTCAAATGCGAGAGCAAAGAATCGCCTTACAATTGCATTCCAGGGTTTGAATTCAGTAACAGTGGAGAATCGCCACAGCCCAAGCAGATTTTTCCGATACAAACGCACATCGAGATGGCATACATAGAATGGGGCAGTTGGTGGATTTCAGGCAGCCAGATCATCACGACCAGTTTCGTTATGACAATCCACCCATCTCTCATCATCAGCAATTATGTGGAGTGATTCCGATGCCAGTTGCCGTGCCCGTAACACCAACCGATTCAAATTCGGATAACACAGAGAAATTCACTTACGAATCACACGATGAAAAATCAGCATCTGTGTGCACATTGCCTTAATAAAAGTAAAATCAGATAATGTTTGTTTACGCGCTGTTTCACCTTGAAATCGTTCACGGCCTTGTTTGTGGTCGACCGCTCCGGTGCCAGCTTGCCAATGGCCTTTACACATATATATACATTAAATTTGGCTGGTAACCTATATGGTACTGTGCTAGAATTTGAATTTTTCGACTTTCCTGTCATGATCATAAATTAAAATTTCGTGGGTTTAGAACTGGAATAAGGTTCATAATGTTAAGGGTCCAGTTGTTAAAGCACTCATCGAAAACCAAATTGATCTCAAAGTTTATCCAAATGAAGTATGAAATGACATATTCCGAAGATGTTACACAATGTGTTATTGCAACCTATTACAAATCTTCGCTGATTTTGAAAATATATATTTGATTTGTTATACGAACCCTTGTACATAATATTTTGTTTCCGTTTAAGCCCTTTTCACAAATTACACTGTCGATTAAGGTAAAAATTCTCAAGGGAACTTGATGCAGTTTTTCTCGAGACAACTCTAGTTAGCATAGCTTCTATCAATATTATCAGACAATAGCAACTTTATGAAACTGCTGTTAATGGACCAAACGTGATAAATTGTAATTTGTCCCCAATCCGTATAATTTATTCAATGTCTGTTTGTTATGAAGTGTATTTATATTCATTAAAACTAACGTAAATAAAAATTTTAATAAATGACGGTTGCTTAGAATTTGTCTCCAATCAGCGGAGTTTTGACCAGGGCACTCAGTGACACCAAACTCAGTGTGGTTCTGAAATATAGAAACCTAGACACCAAACAGATTTTACTTGTTGAACTGGATAGCCAGTGATCAGACATACTTATGCTATTAGCCTTCCGCGATTTACACCTGCGGGCGCACAGCGATTGGATCCAAAATCGACGGCCTATGGACCTTCCCCGAGCATCGACTTCTTGTTTACTTCGTGACATTGGCCAATCAGCAAGATGGCAAATAGTGACGTAACAATGCTACCTTTTTTTCATCCGCTCAGACACTTTTCTCACTCAAGCGTGGTCGTAAACATTACCTTGTTTTCACGTTTTGAACTCTATTGTCTATCGTTAGTTTTCAGTTGTACTTCGGAAACTTAAATATAAATCAGATAATTCAATGATTACTCTGTCTTCCTAGGAGTTTTAATTTATTTGGCGCGGCGGTGTGGCTCAACGGGCTAAGCGTTAGGAATACGCTCGCCACCGCACTCTAATTACTTCTGCGTGGGTTCGCAGGTCGAATCCCATGCAGGGATGGTTATGTGCGAGAGGATTGCTGGACTCCTCGCCGTCGTTGGGTGGTTCACGTAACCGCTGGTCGGTTACGACTTCCTCCACCACCAAGTCCATGCTTCCGAAAACAAACAATATAACTAATCCCATACCCGAATTGGAATGGTAACCGGACGAAAGGCCGTGGTTCGCCATATGGATAAGCCGTCTTATCGGCTTTCCTCTCCCCCGGGATGAATATGTAAATCCTATCCTATTTGCAAAAATAAAAAATTAGTGTAGAAATGGCTGTGATAGACCAATGACATTAAACAACATGATGCGCAACTCCGGCATTTTTGGCCGAAGATTGTATCCGATAGCACGCTCCAATGCACATACTTGACGAGACGAAAACGAGCGGATGTGTGCTGCTTTCAAGGCATAGCATGAATGGTGTTCGTGCCTGCTTTGACAGTTGTTGTCGATTTTAATGATATTTTGGAAAGTTGAGATAAAAGGGTAAGGTAAATACTATTGTTGTATATCACACCCGGGCATCGCACTGTTAAGTACATGTGGGAAAGCCAGCCTTTGCCAAATACTACGAAGTTATTAATTCAGTACGGTACGTAGTTGCCCATTTGCCAAAATTGCATATTTACTTACCCCTTGTGGTTTCAAATAGTTTATGCACCTCCATTTAGATTTTTTTAATCAGTGAGGATATATATTCATTGCTGATTGTTGCTCATTGTAACATACTATTGCGCATTCACTTTTATTTGCGTATTGAATCAAAGTGTTAATAAGTTCACCTAACATTTCACTCATACCGGTCTATATTGTATAGTCTGATCTCTCAAGTATTTGGAGCCACGAATGCTTGTAATTTTCTGACTAAACCCTTTTATTAGTTGGTTTATATACCAAATTCAGTAAAACATTTTTTCATAAAACATGAGATATTGGATTTATTATCTTTTTCATTCTAAATCATATAAACTGCTTTATTTGTTCTTAACGCGAAAATTAATAAATCTCCTCTCTTTCTTCAGATGTGAAAGTTGTGGACAAACCTGCCTAAGCATTGTGAGACCCCTGCAGCACAAAAGGCAATAGCAAAAATAGTAAGCGTATCAATCAAGAAATTAAGCCGACATAAAGCAAAACTTTCAACTATTCGTCTAATCTCAATTCCCTATTATTTAGTCACAGGACAATTATAGCAGAAGGGGAGATATCAGAAGTCTGGCGACATATCAGTGACAGTGTGATTCCAAGAAATATAATTAGAGTACTCCATAAATGATCGCAATAGAAAAACAACCTATGGAGGCATGCAAAGACATTCGACCCTTCGGTAGAGTTGTGTATGGCCCCCATATCCTGCAGGGCTTGAGGAAAATAACTAAAAATTCCAAAGCGTAAGATTGCATAAGCGGTCTTATTTGTAAAAATGCACAAAACACGCAAGACATACTTAAAACAGCTTTGGAAAATGAGGATTACGGGTAACTCACTGCACCTGTATTATATTTGGTTCATCAACTTTTGGTTGTACTATAGAAGAAATTCCGGAAGGGGTATAATCATCATTCATGATAAAATACTGTTATATATATTTTGGACAACTTCATTCTAGTCCAGGGATGTCAAGCTCGCGGCCCCAGAGAACTTCCAGTGCGGCCATCGAACGCTTAACAATAATTGTAATAGTACTTTGGAAGTTTTTTATTTTATCTAAATGTAATAGATTTTCCAAACCTTTTAAAGTGAAATTGATTATTCACACAGAAAACAATTTACTGAAAGTAGTTTTGGAATATTAATTTTTTTTTCGTCCACATTTTGACTTAATTACGAATACACATCAAGCTAGCGAAAGAATACTTGAATAAAACACTTGAGTGATTAAATTAAACGCAAAGTACATGAAGAAGGTGGCATTTTCGAAAAAAACGGGAGTTGCAATATTTCTGCATTTCACAAAATTCTGAAGCACATTGTTTAATTTGTCATATTTCCATCAATAAAATGAAAAAACACAATAAGCTCAGCAGTCAATATGACAAATTCGAAGACCAACTTCGAACAAAAAATTTTCATGTGTTTGGGTATTAATATAATTCTACAACGACTTAGTTACTAAAATCAATATCAATAATAATTCAAGCAATCTTATGCCACGCAATGCGGTGCGAAATGTCTTGTCGAAAAAATCTGTCATTTGTTTTTTACTGATCTATATATGAAATGATAAGAGTAACTTTTTTGCATTACTGGAATTAATTAAATATTCGCAAAGATCCAGATTAACCCATGATCATGTGACCTCGTTAGTTAGAGTTGGTATTATATAATCATTTCAGTCTGGCCTTAGTATGCTGGTGACACAAAAAAAGATGCCAAACGTCAGGACAAATGTAATTAAAAAAACCTTAAGTTTATACTGTAGTATTTTAGTTAATATTAGGTTCATATATTTAGATTAAGTCATTTTTAGTGTATGTATTATTCTTTCCTTATCCAAAGCTTGTTCAAAAATGATTTTGATGGTTGTACATAGAATTTTATGATTTTTTATAATAAATACAGTAACTTGCAAATGTTGCAATAATAGTGGAATGCAAATATTAATATGTAATTGCATTTGATATTGAAGAAAATAATAAAACTTAATCCAACTGTTTAGTTGCATCACAATATATGTCACAAACTAAAACTATCTTAAAAATATCTTTCAAGTATACATTATCAAAAACTGTTTGCGGCCCTTTTTTCAATTTCCAAAATGCAATGCGGCTCTCAAAAACCCATGAGTTTGACACCACTGATCTATTCTAGACGATTCAAGCATTGCTTTGGGAAATAATATCACTTCAATAAAATTGAAGAAACTATCTCGCTATATTAAATACAAAATCGTTGATATCATCAAGGTAAACCGATTCAGCCACTCGAAATATATTGGGCTTCACAAAGCAATGGAGGCAAAATTGAGAGTTTATGAGCTATGAATATTTGTTCTTTTCTTTGTCTTGAGCTTTTCATACTCCACAGCCCCTATTAATGTTTTTTAATTTTAATTACCATGTGATGGTCATACATATCTTTAACTTGTATTTTCTGTCATGATTTATTATCTCAATGTGTCAAACTATTAATTAGTATGCATATTTTGCTTCCAGAAGACATAAATGTATTGTCATGTTTATTACCTCTGCTTGGAGTATGGACAAGAAAAAAGGTGCCAGTAAATTAGGTAAAAAAAAATTTTAACTCTTTGTTATAAGCAGAATTCACAATTAATAGGAATTATAAACAGCCAACAATCAATGAGAATTATATTCGAAATCCCTTAGAATAAATTTGTCTAAAATCGGAGGAAGGCAAAACATATAGGTAGTTTCCATCCACACAAGCATTTCATGAAGACTTGCTCGAGCCAAACTAAATGAGCATCGTCAGGTGATCGGTAAGGCTGCAAGTTGAATTCAGCCCTGCAACCTCCTGCATAGAAGATAATTAGTGGGCTATGAGCTAAATTCCTAAATTTAAACAAACCTATCTACGATGCATTATGTACCAGCAATGTTACCTACAATTAACTGAATATGTAATATGTCTAATAAATTCACCTACAAAAGCATGTTCGATAGGGGCAAACTTTGTGTTATGGAATTGTATCACAGCACCGTTAGGAGAAGTAAAAACGTTTTTGCTGTTTTGTATGACACCCTCTTTGAATGAAATTTCAATGTTTAAGCGCAAACATTAAAATTACTAACTCTGAACTTTGTCAATATCTGCAAAATGTTCCACTCAAATCTTTCCGCTATCGCGTTTGTAATCTTCTCTGATAAAAAAAAAACGTCCATGATGTCCAGAATTGCTCTTTACAGCTTGTCTGCCATTCCAACTTTTCAAGTGAGCAAAACTTCTTAGATATAAAGATTATTTTCTTTCGTTACAGGCGCAAAAAGGCAGGTACTACACGGAAAAAAGGCGCCGAGCAGCAAAAGCGAGCGGAAAACGGTCGCTAAAGGCGACGAGAAATATGTGCATTGGAGCGTATCATGAAATACAATCTTTCGCCTGTAGTCTTATGGAGTGACGTCAGAGTTGCCTATCATGTTGTTTAATGTCATTGGATAGACTAGGCTAAAATTCTTTACCAGTACTTTTAAAAAAGAGATTGTTGTATGCGATTAATCGTAATGATGTTTTGAATCACACACCCCATTTTACAGGCGCCAACTCGCAAAAGCACTCTTAAAATAGCCCCGAAAATTTTGCAATGGTAAAGCATAGAAAGAAATTTTCCGGGACAAAGGTCGGGGAAAGGTTCATAATGTAACAAAACACATCACCCAAATTTGCCTTTTTTCTATTTTATTGAACAAGACATATTGCACGATTAAATCCAGTTGCCTTAAAGTTAACCGACATCGACATGATGGTAACGGTAAGTGTTGGTGGTGCTTGTTGAGGGTCGGAAAGCCAAGAAGATTACGGTATGAGAGAGAAGATCCCTGGACTCCTCCCCCACCCAATCCACTGTATTATCCACTTTATAGTAGGGAAGGAAACTTGAAAACAAATCCCAAACTTTTTATTGGATCACTTTGATGAACATCGCTTCCAAGGTTCAACGTATGATTTGATACCAGAGAGGCACTATTTTTGTTGATATCGGAAATTTGAAATTTCATAACAATGGACAAATTTTATAAAAATATTCAATTTCGAATTTCCACCTAGTAGATATATCATTATACAGCGTCTAATTACCGGTATGCATTTATCTGACTATTTACATTTACAAGTTTGTTAAATAATATAGATCAGATATTTTAAACTTATATATCATTGCACATTGGAATGCTTCATGCCAAACCTGGTTTAAAAACATTTTATTATTATTTTACTCCTTTTAATTTGCCACATACTAAGTGTTCGGACCACATAAATATTGCAGCAAGAGACAGAATGTCGAGTTTTGCCCTTTTTCCCAATAGCGAATCAATATTGAAGGTTCACAATTCATTCTTATACTTTTAACTGGGAAAGTTATTGAGCTTTAAAGATTGTGGACTGTTGAGCTCCAGAGCACCCATTTGAACAATGATGAAAAATATAACTTCAATACTTTGGGTGACAATTTTCATCAACAATCCTTTGCAATAGGACATTCTGTTCAACAGATATATAATCTTTTACGCCATCTTGAACAGTTTTTATTGCATCAATATCTCCACCTGAACACGCCATCTGCAAATGGAATAAATGACTAAGGATTACTTTACTGAAAAGTAATATACAATTTTATACATAGCTAAAAAAATCACCTTTTATGTAAAAGTTTGGAAATCAAAAAGTAAATTTTCGCCATCTTGTTTATGAATTGCCAGGAGTCGGAATAAGAGTCTATTGAATCTATCTGGATTTGTTACTATAAACTATCAGGCAGTTTTGAAGATGATAATAGAGAAAAAATCGAAATAATAAATGAATCTGAATCGTACTCACTACAAGTGACCGAAGAAAAATAAATAAATCTTCTCCAAGCAATGTGTCTAAAATATGTGATCCAGATGCCATGCTTTCCTCATCAGGCCATGTATACTGTTGGAATACTTCTGCATAATCTTTATTAATTGCTAGAGGGCGAGGTTGAAGTAACAATAGAAGTAAAAGTCTAGTTACTTCACATTTTTTATAGTAGTCATTGTAACATCCTGAAATGAGAGACAGAAATTTACATGAGAATATATACTAGAAAAATTTGAACTTACTTACTTGAATATAACATAGGCTTTTGCTGATAGAATTTATGGTAGCCCATTTACTCCTGCATATGATTTATAGGGTAAGTAAATAAAGGGGTTCTTCTCCCACTTGCCCCAAAAGTCCCTAAACCAAAATGGATTAAGTCATCCAATAGGGTGTGGTCAGTGGTCACACAATTACGGTGACACAGTATGTTGTGATTAATGATTTCAATAAAATGAAACATCATTGAAACAGCATACCAAGAGGAGTAACTCGATCTAGATGATAGGCACCTTCTTTTTTGATTAATTTCATCATATCCATTGATGTATTCAAGGCAGAACGAAAATCACCTAAAAATGAATCAATGTTGCCTTTAGTCGACATTCTGAAATATGATATGTGCCCTCAAGAAACATGTTCCTGGAACTCTCCTTTTGTATTTTTTTATTCAGTTTCCTTTATGTGTTCCATTCATCTATCTTATAAAAATATAGTATCTTACGTATTAGTGTTTGACATAACATAACTTTATCCATCGTGGATATAGCTTGAGATGGCAAACCAGAGAAGTACTCAACAGCTCTTTGATAATGCTGAATAGCTTGATCATATCTGTGAGTTTGCTGAAGAGTAAAAAAAAAAGTAGGCTATGAAACATTCCAATTCCAAGTAAAGCAAAATGTATGCTAAACTTACTTTGTAATATTCAGCTTGTTCAAGGCATACACTCCCAGCCGCGACTGACATACCGTTTTCTTCATAAATCTAGTATGATAAAAAAAATGACCAGTCATACAAATAATGAAGTATTAAAAGTGCAATATTACCAATATAACTTACTTTAATAGACATATTGAAACAACCCATAGAGCATTCCAAATGTTCGTGAAAGTTTGGACAATTCATTTCATCTATTTCCTTGTCTGCTTTTAGAAAAAATCTAGCAGCTTCAATAAGTGAATCTACTTCACCAGATTGGTTGAGCAATCCTTGCTCACATCTGAAAGGTTTAGAAGTTAATGTCAACTATTGGATCTCAATAGAAAAACACAAATAGAGTCTAAAACTGAAAAGATCGCTAAAAATGATCATAGGTTGAAAACGGTTCACATTACTTGGCCCTAGCAATTGCTGTGAATCCAGCATAAGGAAAGCACTCGATCCTTGACAAATGATTTTTCAGCTGTTCAAATTCACTACTTGCTTCTGCAACATTCGGTTTTTTCAAGAATCTCCTATAACAAAACAAAAAAATACTATTAATGTTTGTCTATCCGATGCAACACAGAACCACTTGAAATTACCTGATGCGACTATCAAAATATCCAAGATATGTCAAGAATTCAAGAATAAAAATTCATTGAGAAGCTCAAATATCACAAATTTTACAAATGTTCACACAAATGTTTTTGTCTGCCAAAGTCAGAATTTCTCGGACAAGCATTTTATAATTGAAAAAGTAATTTATAGCTGATTTTGCCAGTTAATATAATATTTATTATATTAGTATAAAAATGCATATCATCAAATGACTTAGTAATATTAGTAAATATGCTGTTATAATTTAGAAATAAAAGTAGATTGACAAATGACAACCAATATTTTGCCAAGTTAATATATATTTATTATATCAGTAGGCCTATAAAAAATGCATATCATCAAATGACTTAGTAATATTAGTACAATATGCTGTTATAATTTAGAAATAAAAGTAGATTGACAAATGACAACCAATATCTGAATATGGTATTGTTATTTTGTTTACATTTCAGTCATACCTGCTGGCAAAAGTACGGTAATACCATATTGGGGCCTACTTTTATATCTAAATTATAAAGTGGGTGAAAATCCTACTTCTTTAATTTGCTTGCTGCGGCTCTGTGAAAATTGAAAAAATCCACCTCCTCTCCCATTTTTCACACTTCAATGCAATGACTTATTACGATACGATACCGGTACCGGTACCTACCGTATCCTTGCACAATGTAAGCTTTGAAATTATGTAATATACAGATAGTCTATATACAGATATATGTTAAGATACAAAAGCTGAGTAATATAGGCCTAGTAATTCTAAATTGTCACAAAACAGCATTACTGAAATGGTGTGATACCGGTATGGTACAAATAAAAATATTCTTTTCCACTTGTGATGTATCTATTCTGATTTCTGCATAAACATCGAAGTTGAGAGAAAAGTTGTTTCCCTGACCCTTGACCCCAGAAAAATTCTCCAAGATTTTGCTATGGAGGGTATTCATTATCGCCACTGAGCGTCGCCATTTTGTTTTTATGTGGGCATGCGCGGGAAAGTACTGTCTTCTGCTTCCCCGCGACGTTGGACTGGTTTGGGCTTTTCGATTGAAATGGCGGCTCGTGCGTCTGGTGGTTCCAAATTGCATTGCTGCGTACCGTTGTGTAATGGCGATAGCCGTTACTCACCAGACTTATCGTTCCACTCTTTCCCCAAAAAATGAAGAGAGCGTGGATTCACAGTATTCGTCGCGATCCTGGTAAACATTTTCAAGTAAGTCAGTATATTGTGGCAAATATTTTTTTTCTTTTGGTTTTAATTTTAGTTTTGACCCTGATTTTCTCTTCTCGCTTCTACTTTAGTTATTAGGCTATATCTATGCGGTTGTAGGCCATATGTGAGTGTATTTAAGGTGAGCACAGCCCACGACTTTCTTTTGCAGTTTTGGCAACAATTAATTTAACTAATGATTTGGTTTCTACGAAACTAACTACTTATCCTTCTTCTATGCTTTTGTGCCGGCGGATCGGTATGCATATAATGCAAGGATGCTGTAGCAAGAGTAAAGATAACTATCCCAAGTGATTCAAGAGTCTTGCTGTGAGTCTTAGTGTGCAGCAAGACTCTTGAATCACTTAATTAAATTAATTTAACTTCTGCTCTTTTCAAATCTTAGTTAGGGCTCTTCTGATTCTGTAGACTAATAAGTGTTTATTTTGTCAATATCTTCCTGGTGCACTGATTATGGGAATCAAGCTAAACTTGATAACCTATATTATTATTAGGTGGCATACATTAATTCCTTGAAGCCTAGCTTCACTTTAGTTTGGTGTTATTTATTCAGTTCGTATCAGCTAGTTTATTTTGACTTATTAAAACAGATTACACCAAGCACGCGAGTTTGTGGCAACCATTTCAGACCGGAAGACATATATGAGACGCCTTCTGGTCGACGCCGTTTGCACCACAACTCAGTTCCATCAAAATTTAGTTGGACAAAGTTAATTGCAGAGAGACCACTGCCAAATAGACTGAGGTAAAACAGAATATATCATTTTTCAAATTAGACTATACCACCATACTAGTATCAAACCAAAATTTAAAATTAACCAATTTGAAAAAATATTTTGACAGACTATAAAAGTCTAGAATATCAGGGTGGTCCAACATTGTCGGCTCCGCAGGCCACAAAATTATTTTTGCTTTGTTCGCGGGCCACAATAGTGCCAAGAATAGGTAAACAGTGCAATACAAAATAAACAATTTCATTGTGCAAATACATAGTTATAAGACATAGCCTGCTCTGGCTAATAGAATCTGTATTCGGTTCTTAGTTTTCTATGATGCCCTACATTGTTAGCATATATTCCCGACAAAAAAAATAGGAAAGCCAGATACTAATTAGACTACCAAGCACATCATTCAACTTTGCTAGTTGCCTCACAGCTAGCCATAACAATAGTCAATTCAGTGCCATTATTTGATTTACACATATACATGCAATGCCAGGGATTCAATACTTGAAGCTGTAATTTGTGTTACAATATGACTTTTCACCGATATCTGGTTCATCATATAATTGAGCCCTTCTTATCATCCTTCCTTTCCCAGGATGAATATGTGATTTCTTTGCTAATGAATTTTATTATATTTTTCAGAACCCACTTGATGATGCCACTGTACCAAGCAGTCGGACCAGCAGTCTGAGTTTTAATCACAGTAATCCTACTCAAGTGGATCACAACTACTGCATTGTAGTGAAAACAGCTGAAGAAAAACTTGAGCAAGCTTTAAAAGAAATTGAGAATTTAAAAACTCGAGTTTCAAATCTGTCAATATCTAAATTCGGTATGGAACGTTTCAAGGCGTCAAGCTCCATGATTAAATATTATACTGGCTTTAGTTCCTATTGTTTATTGATTGACTTTTTCCACATATTGTTGGACTGTGCTAACTCTTTAACACTATGGTCTGCTGTAAGCGAAGAAGTTTATAATGGAAGTAGCGATTTTTTAGACCACCCTTGTAAGAAGCGATCGGTTCCACTGGCTGATGAACTATTTTTATTTTTGTGTCGTCTGAGACGGGGCTTTGATGAGATCCATCTTAGTGATGTTTTTGCATATCACAGTCCACTGTCTCTCGGATAGTTATCACATGAGCCAATTTTCTTTATTTTACCTTGGCGTCTATCCCAATTTGGCCTACTCGTGAGCAGGTTTATGAAAATATGCCACAGTGTTTCAAAAACCAAGGTTATGGATCTACACGCATAGTCCTTGACTGTTGTGAAATGTTATGCCAGTCACCATCTTCACTCATGCTCCAAAGTGAGTTTTTTTCATTTTATAAAAACCATACAACATTAAAATGTTTATTGGGTATTGCTCCCCATGGTCCAATAACTTTTGTCAGTTTATTATTTTGCGGTAGCGTATCAGACAGTGAAATAACCCGGAGATCTGGAATTTTGAGTTTGCTTGAAAGAGGGGATTCCGTAATGTGCGACAAAGGATTTGCCATCAGGAGTCTCTTGGAAGTGAAAGGTGTGGGTCTAAATATTCCTCCATTCAACTTTAACGGGCGGTTCACATATGAGGAGGCATTGCGGTCCAGCAAGATTGCTTCACTTAGAGTCCACGTAGAACGAGCAATCAGAAGGGTGAAAGAATATCAGTTATTCGAAGGCAGAATACCACTGAGTATGCTAGGAACAGTTAATCAACTATGGACCGTTGATGCTTATTAACCAACTTTAGCGGTCCTTTGTTTTAGAAGTAGTTTTTGAGTTTTAGTTTGTTCTTTGTTGAATAATTATTTTTAGTTTATCAAATACATTCAGGACATATTTTATGTCCCTTTAAAGATCTTAGCTTTGTTAGAATATACAGCAGAGGGTGTGGGTGTCACAACATTATATTAGGTTCACAGTAAAAGAAAAGGGAAAATTCAGAATAGCCTTTTGTACTGCCTGTCTCGCCTGTTTTCAACAAATTGCACTATGGCGAATACACAAAATACTAATTTATTGAAAAATAGTTGAAAGCCCAAAGCAACTGGTTACTACATTCTAAATTTAAAGCAATAAAATACATAAATGCCTAGGCAAGTTTTTTCTCTTGATATATAATTATCCTTCAGACATTTCACATAGTGAAAAATTTTTGTCCTCAAGATGGCATGTTTGTTGCAACCGTATTTATGAAATGATCATAAAAAGAGGATTCCAGACGCATTTGTAGGTCCAGAAAATATGCATCATCAAAATATATGCGATCAATAAAACATGCACCCGAAGGTAAAAGAATAATGATGTCACACCACTTGAGTCCTGTGATTCCTAAACACCCCATTATTTGAAAATAATAATCATGATTCATTTTCAATGTCCATTCCCCTTTATCATTTTTAAAAAGACAAGAAACCTTGTCAAAAGTGTCAGACATAGGGCATTTGGCTTCTTATAAGCCATAGCATAGGTTGCCATCACAAGATGGGTCGTGAACTTTGCGATCTGGTGAACACCCCAACCAGGGACAAGTTGAAGATATTACCAATCCACATGGGGAACACTGGCATTTTTTTATTTCCTCGTATAATTTTACTGCTACTGGTTCTATTTGGATACCTCTTTTCATTGCTGCAGTTTGAAATAATTTGGAAGAAGTAAGATTTGAAGCAAGGGAGTCAAAATTTGAAACACGTTTATAAATTCGGCCAAATTTGGATGCTGTAATTCTAAATTTTCGTTGTTGGTGCCAAATCGGAGAGTTATACTGAATAAATTCAATGTGTTTACAATCTTCTCTGCCCAAAGTCAGATTTTGCATCACTTTGTGTTGCATTTCTGTTAACACCGTGTTAGTCTGTGGAGACAAACTAGACAGAGGGAGAGAAGGGAATTCAAAACTTTTCTCATCACATATCTGCTGATATGCTAGAGGACTCCCAAATGGTGCTTGTCCAAAATTTGTTGAAATACTTACAACAGAAGATGGATTTGACGGCCAAATTGTATTTAACTGAATATTATATTGACTAAAATTTAGAAAGCTCTGCCATTGCGGGATTCTTCCAGGTTTGTGTAGAGTGCTGCGAATTGTTCTGATGGATTTCGAACATGGATTTTGAATAATAATTTTTTGGATAGGCAGCTGCTTGAATCCTTCGCTTCTTGGATGATGCCATGATTGTAATTGCATAGTGCCAGTGATAGCTGGGGGGACTTTCTTTAGTTGGAGATTGCTGAAATGCGCAGTGCAGTACAACAATGCTAAAGAATGACAGCAAATTGCTTCTCCCACTGTACAAGAGCAAGTAGCACTCAGTACATTGTCCGTCGCAAAGTTACAAATAATGAATGAGGTGGCTCGTTTTTTCTTTGTGATCGATAACATCTTGCCTTTATTAAAAAATTCTGACCATCTTGGAAAACTGTGAAAATAATAATACATATTAGTGATAAGTTACAGCTTAATTTGCTTTCAATGGTTGTTGCATATTCAGCATGGTTTAATCGAAACCTAGGTGTAATGAGATTAGATAGTTGATTTATCTCAAACTCCTCCATTGTACAAAAATGCCAACAGCAGACGGAGATTCTAGGAAAGCTGTGTAAATTCTGAAATTATAAGCTGCCCCTTGTCTTTTAGATCCCCTATAAAAATAAATAGGTAAATCCTGAATAGCCCATGAATAAATGTACATCACATGTCATTATTTACTGACGTTCTTAATGCTTAAAATTATAACAGTGGTTACGGTACCGGTACATGTGACATCATCATGTCCCGCTCGCTGAAAAATCTTACTTGCCCTACCTTTGTAATCGTGGATGAAAGACTCCCAGAAGTATTTGTATCCTCTCTTGGCGCTATTTCCAGCATATTCTGTAACGTCATCAAAACTAAAATCAGGAAGATATTTCAAATCGTCGCTAAAGATACGCTGAGCCATTACACAGACAGATAAAAAAAAACGTGCCAGAGTAACAATCGCGAGGTCGTCGTCTGACGTACTGCTCACTATCCAGTGGAGGCGCTAAAGAGGTGAATACCCTCCATTCCAAAATTTTGGATGCCTATTTCGGGACAACACTAAAAGGCTGAAGGAAGAAACGGATGAAGTGGAGGGAAAACGGAAGTTGGAGTGTTCCCAAAGGTGAAAAATTAAAAACACTAAAAAGCTGAACACTAAATAGAAGAAGTGGATGAAATTTCTTCCGGCGAATAAAGAGGCGGTTGAAGTCACTAAAAAGATGAACACTAAAAGGAAAAAGTGGATAAAATTTCTTCCGACGAATAATGAGGTGGTTAAAGTCACTAAAAAGCTGAACACTAAAAGAAAGAAATGGTTGAAATTTCCTCCGACGAATAGTGAGGTGGTTGAAGTCACTAAAAAGCTGAACACTAAAAGGAAGAAGCGAATGAAATTTCTTCCGCCGAATAATGAGGTGGTTGAAGTCACTAAAAGGAAGAAGTGGATGAAATTTCCTCCGACGAATAATGAGGTGGTTAAAGTCACTAAAAAGCTGAACACTAAAAGGAAGAAGCGAATGAAATTTCTTCCGCCGAATAATGAGGTGGTTGAAGTCACTAAAAAGCTGAACACTAAAAGGAAGAAGCGAATGAAATTTCTTCCGCCGAATAATGAGGTGGTTGAAGTCACTAAAAAGCTGAACACTAAAAGAAAGAAATGGTTGAAATTTCCTCCGACGAATAGTGAGGTGGTTGAAGTCACTAAAAAGCTGAACACTAAAAGGAAGAAGCGAATGAAATTTCTTCCGCCGAATAATGAGGTGGTTGAAGTCACTAAAAAGATGAACACTAAAAGGAAGAAGTGGATGAAATTTCCTCCGACGAATAATGAGGTGGTTAAAGTCACTAAAAAGCTGAACACTAAAAGGAAGAAGCGAATGAAATTTCTTCCGCCGAATAATGAGGTGGTTGAAGTCACTAAAAAGCTGAACACTAAAAGGAAGAAGCGAATGAAATTTCTTCCACCGAATAATGAGGTGATTGAAGTCACTAAAAAGCTGAACACTAAAAGGAAGAAGCGAATGAAATTTCTTCCGCCGAATAATGAGGTGGTTGAAGTCACTAAAAAGCTGAACACTAAAAGGAAGAAGCGAATGAAATTTCTTCCGACGAATAATGAGGTGGTTAAAGTCACTAAAAAGCTGAACACTAAAAGGAAGAAGCGAATGAAATTTCTTCCGAATAATGAGGTGGTTGAAGTCACTAAAAAGCTGAACACTAAAAGGAAGAAGCGAATGAAATTTCTTCCGCCGAATAATGAGGTGGTTGAAGTCACTAAAAAGCTGAACACTAAAAGGAAGAAGCGAATGAAATTTCTTCCGCCGAATAATGAGGTGGTTGAAGTCACTAAAAAGCTGAACACTAAAAGTAAGAAGCGAATGAAATATCTTCCGCCGAATAATGAGGTGGTTGAAGTCACTAAAAAGCTGAACACTAGAAGGAAGAAGCTAATGAAATTTCTTCCGACAAATAATGAGGTGGTTAAAGTCACTAAAAAGATGAACACTAAAAGGAAGAAGTGGTTGAAATTTCTTCCGACGAATAATGAGGTGGTTAAAGTCACTAAAAAGATGAACCCTAAAAGAAAGAAATGGTTGAAATTTCCTCCGACGAATAGTGAGGTGGTTGAAGTCACTAAAAAGCTGAACACTAAAAGGAAGAAGTGGATGAAATTTCTTCCGCCGAATAATGAGGTGGTTGAAGTCACTAAAAAGCTGAACACTAAAAGGAAGAAGTGGATGAAATTTCCTCCGACGAATAATGAGGTGGTTAAAGTCACTAAAAAGCTGAACACTAAAAGGAAGAAGTGGATGAAATTTCCTCCGACGAATAATGAGGTGGTTAAAGTCACTAAAAAGCTGAACACTAAAAGGAAGAAGCGATGAAATTTCTTCCGACGAATAATGAGGTGGTTGAAGTCACTAAAAAGCTGAACACTAAAAGGAAGAAGCGATGAAATTTCTTCCGCGAATAATGAGGTGGTTGAAGTCACTAAAAATGAACACTAAAAGGAAGAAGTGGATGAAATTTCTTCCGACGAATAATGAGGTGGTTAAGTCACTAAAAAGCTGAACACTAAAAGGAGAAGTGGATGAAATTTCTTCCGACGAATAATGAGGTGGTTAAGTCACTAAAAAGCTGAACACTAAAAGGAGAAGTGGATGAAATTTCTTCCGACGAAAATGAGGTGGTTGAAGTCACTAAAAAGCTGAACACTAAAAGAGAGAAATGGATGAAATTTCTTCCGACGAATAATGAGGTGGTTGAAGTCACTAAAAAGCTGAACACTAAAAGGAAGAAGTGGATGAAATTTCTTCCGACGAATAATAGGTGGTTGAAGTCACTAAAAAGCTGAACACTAAAAGGAAGAAGTGGATGAAATTTCTTCCGACGAATAACGAGGTGGTTGAAGTCACTAAAAAGCTGAACACTAAAAGAAGAAGTGGTGAAATTTCCTCCGACGAATAATGAGGTGGTTGAAGTCACTAAAAAGCTGAACGCTAGAAGGAGAAATGTACGGTAATGATATTTTGTCCTATCGATTTTGAGGCGGTTGAAGTCACTAAATACCAAACATTAGGAGAGTTAAATAGCCTAAACATATCCCCACGGAAGAGAGATTGGATGAAGACCCTGAAAGCGGACTGATGAGTAGGCATGCCACTTTTAGATTTATGAATTGAATCGATTCAAATCGCAATTTTTTTCGAATCTGATTTACGCGATTCGAAAGAAAGAGAGCCATTTAGCGAAGAAAAACAAACACTCCAAAAAACACCAATTGCCAGACGGGAATGTAAACGCATTTTTCGTTATTTACTTTTATTGATCTGCCTTCGTTCATTTCAAGTTCAGCGCAACACACCCTGATCATTACTCGAGATGCTGACGTGCTGTGTGGGCAATTAATTTCCTTCAATCTGTCAGTTGAGTATTCCACTGAATGACCTAATTTTCTATCACACGCAAATTTAAATGGATCGTGTATAATTTGCAACAGCACACCTTCTCTGTGACTAAGTTATGGTACGCCTTGACATGAATTGATAAACGATCAGATACCGACTTCTAGAAAACATTTAATTTTGATTGAAATTTAATTTAAACTCCGTTGAGAGTGAAATATTTCGCGTATATATTTGAAGAGAACTATTACTGAACAAGTTCATTCGCCGGGCATGTTAATTGACGATCATGTTTTTTATCCTGACATTTACATTTATGCTATTTTATTCTCATTTGTTGTATCTCCACTTGAGTGGCGGTAAACGAAATGAGGGACACATGGTAGAACACTTCTTGCAGCCGTAATCATAAAAGAAATGTAGTATTTTCTCCTAATTAGCGCGATACAAGCGGGGAATTAAACATTTCGGTTATATCCAGCAATTATCAAAACGCACATATGGAAGTAGATAATACTAAGGAATAGCAACTTGTGCACTGTCTTACATTAACACGCGCCAGATTTCATACCCCGCCGAGCCTAATATGCAAATGTCGTCTTACTTTAACTCCAACGACCGTGTTTGATCGAGATACAGCGTCGACCTATTATCCCTCGTCAGCACCGCGTCTATTATGTACATTTGGACTTTCGGATTCCGAAATTAAACATAATGAAAGATAATAATGAAGCCCAAGTTTAGTAATAACAGTTTTAGCTAAAAGTATTAGTGTCTTTGATATTTATAGGAATATTTTCATTTTTTCGCAGTCGTTTTCGGTTGGAGGTTTATTTTAAATGGGTTCATTACTTTTTTGTGTTCAAGCAAATTCCTGAAAGCATTTCTTATTTATTGTAATCCAGATGCAATTAAAATGTCTTTGTCTTATTACACTAAGCTGCTAGCATAAATATATGCTCAGTATCTCCTTTTTAGCAAGCTCTATCGCAATAATGAGCCCATATATCACAGAGATGACAAAGATCTGTGTGTACAAGTTCTCCTTTATGTATAATCCAAAGTCACAAATTATTGTACTAATATTTTGGAGATAAAAAATCTGTAATGAGCCCTAATTTAATATAACAATGAGTGAAATACCACAGTCACATATTCTGGGGTGGGACTGCTGGAACCAGTGCTGTTACTGTTGCAGCACTGTTTATGACGGTACAATAGAATTGTTTCCTGCGCTTATTTTCACAATTGAGTTGCATCAAATTGACTCAGTCCTGAGGAGATGGCCAATACCGAATAGTTCTCTATTTCGAATACATTCGAAAATAAAATAAAGTAATTGGGACTTATCTATAGTATATGAAGGAATTTGCATACAATAAAATAATGGAATAACTGTTATCTACAACATGACTATATTATCCATGCATTTCATGTTTGCAGATTACTGCGATATATTTTTATATATACCATGAGTTACGTTATCAGAATTAAATTAACACGGCAAGCATTAAATAGTGCTATCGGCCATGGATTTGAACATTTTGCGCAACACAAAATCATCCTATGTAAAAGTCCATACTTTTGATTACCAACCATTATCCAAACTATTTGCTAAAAAGCGGGATAAAGTATAATTATATTTCTGATTTGCGACAATTTTTTCGTGAGTACGTAAATACGAATGAAAAAATTAATTATATTCGGGCACTTCAATGTCTGCAAATATATATATTATATTATAACTACGAAAATATGAATCAAGAATTAATTATAATCAGGCAATTTACCACACATATAGGTACATAGATTGCGTGGTATTGTGCTCGAATTTAATTAATATTGATTACGTATTGATTCCGTATTCCAATCCCTTGAACCAATATCTGTATTTATAAATTTGCAAGCAGTTCACGGCAACGAAGACTTTGAATAATGAT